CTGTGTGTCTCAGCCCTGTCCTGCTGCTGCTCCTCATCCCAAACTCCTGTTTGTGCAGCGTGGCACCTTTGGAGCTGGGCCAGGCCTGGCACCTACTGGGCAAAAGCATCTACACCTTTCCTGGCAGCACAAGACCCTGGTGAGGCCCACTGGCCACTGCCTCACCTGAGAGGAAGCAAAAGCACCATGCAAATAAACACAAAATAAATAGATAGTGCAGAGATAGGGAAGTTGATAGTGAAAATAGGTATGAGTCAGAAAGAATAATTGATACAGGAAAGCTGACCTGCAACAGAGGACATAGATGCTGACAGCAGAGCCATGCCAGGAGAAGGTCCCTAGAAAGTGGGGAAGGACAGGGATCCCTCCCTCTGGCACAGGCCCCAGCAGGGAACACGATGGTGTCCCAGACAGTGCTGAACTGGTGTCAATTCACAACAAGGTGTGAGTGAGGCACTGGAAAGCAGCTGCTGTACAGGGACTCCTGGGACCTCTCTGTGTGCTGAGCCGGAGTTCTATGGACTGGGAAATGGAAACTGTTTATCATGGAAATACTTCCTCTGGGTGAAATGTTTGCTGGGATCCTTGAGGGGCCACAAATTTGGCCCTGTGCATGGCAGGGGGTGGCTAGCACAGTAAAAATGTATTATTTCAGAGTACATGAATGTTCCAGCAGGCAGACCTATCTGCAAAGCAGATGATGTTGGAAGTGTGCTGTAGCACAACCCACCCCACCATTGCCCAGGGCTGCAGGGTTGGCTTCTGCCAAAGGCCACAGGGCACCAGTGTCCCCCCCAGGCAGAGCAGCTCCAGAGGACTCAGATGCTCTGGGGAAATGTGAATGCTGTTCTGGGAAATGGTGGTCCTGTGCCAGAAGCTGAGAGCCTGCCCTGTCTCCCAGACTAATAGTGCCCTTGTGATCTGCACAGTTCAGTGAATTCACTTCCTCCTCTTGGCTTTGCTAGAAAGTGCATTGACTGATTTGAAAGTTGCCCATGATGCAGAGCCCGCCAAAAGCTGTGAATCTGCCTCAGTGGCTGATTGCCATCACTGCTCAAGGCATAATGTATTTTCTGTGAGACCTCAGATTGCAGCTGCCAGATCTCACAGGGACTTGAAGTGACTTGAAGGTCCTTCTCTTGCTAAATGTCAGGTCTTTGCTGGAATACTTACTGGCTTCCTGTAATGTCCTCCTTTATGAAGCTATCAGATCTGCATCTCTCCAAACCCATTTACCTGCCTATTCTCCCATTGTTCCCAGGTGAACTGGCTTGCTTTCCATTGCATATTCTTTCTCATTGGCTTTGTAGACAACTCTGCACAGCCCAGGTCTTCCTACGTGCAGATATAGGAAGGGCCCTTCTTTGAAAGCAGTTCCAACAGAGGAATGGGTTCTGCATGTCCAGCAGTGCCCTGCCCACTACACCCAGCCTCAGACTGATTCCCTGCCAGGCAGAGCAGAGGGCACACAGGCAACTGCTGTGGTGCTGCAGCCTCAGGCTTGTGTCAGACTCTGGTGCCCAGCAACCACTTAAGGTCTGCAAGCAGCAGAAGTGGAAATGTTCAGAAACTCTTGGGAATTTGCTGACTCCAGATCTGTAGTTCCTGCATTAGGTTTTGTTGATGTGAACCTTCTGGAAGGGCCATGTCCCCGCGGCCAGGCTTGCTGCTCACTGATGAGCTTCTGTTTCAGCAGAGAGCTGGGAAGGTTGCTCCCTGATGTGCTTTCCCTCTCTGGCTTTTCCCTGTGCAAGATTATGGGGGTGGTGTGTCCAGCGGGACACAGACAAGGTGTCTGTGAAAGGTCTTGTGGAGTCACAGTCCCAGCATTCCTGGGTGTCCCTGCAGGATGTCTGTGTGTTTTGAGTCTGAACCACTTGCCCTGGGTCAGGGATGCTGCCTCAGTTCTGCCCTGCTGCAATGCAGACCTGTGTCTGCAGAGCTGTGGCAGCGCAGGTTGAGTTGTGTGGTGCTTACAGGCAGGGAGCAGCTTTTACAGCCTGCACAGGAGTGATGATGCTTTGCTTGGCACAGCCCGACACTGCACAGACACGAAGATGCAGACACAGAGCTGGTCTCTGTAAAGAAGAAAACCACCAGGCAGCAAACTCTAGGAAGGGCATGCAATAGCTCTGTGCTTTGGTGCAACCCAAAATCTCACCAGAGCATCTCATAACCCAGCCAGCCGTCAGCCACCACTTCTAGGCCTGGCTTTTGTTGTGCAAATCCCCCCTCCCAGGGTAAGTGCTACCTTCAACAGCTCTTCCCAGCTGCCCCTTTCTGGGAAGGATGGAACCACAGACATTGTACCCACTTGCTTGAACACCAACGCTCAGCAGGATCGAGGCAGGATGATGGACACCTGAAGGACCCAGAGTTAAACAACTGCTGGATCTCTGGGTTTAAGAGTAGACATGTAGGGACAGAACAGATACTTGGTGTTAAGGTGGTTACTGACAACTGTGTTTTGTTGTTTTGGTTTGTTTTTTTCCCTTTTGTAGGTTTCTATGGGAGACCATGGTCTATGGAACAGAGGAAACTTCTCTTTCAATGGCAAGTACCCTGGATTTTTCCCTTTACAGGTACTAGCCTGTGGCAGTGACAGGGTGGGAGCCAGAGAGCTGTGGAGGCAGGAGTGGTGAGGAAAAAGCGGTGGAGGGAGGCTCCTGGGGCTGGCTGTCTCTGGGACACCGGGGTGATGGCAGCGAAGGGGGTTCAGGCTTCTCTGGGGGGCCCTCTGGCCCCAGTATTCAGTCCTGGGAAAGACCTCCCGGCCCTGGCCCCGTGTGATGGCTGCGAGTGGGACAGACAGCCCAAGGTGTCCGGACAGATGTGCTGTGCTGCCCCGTGCCGGCAGATGGTGCTGGGACTCCACCGAAGCCCAGCTGCAGCCAGATGTGCTCGGCTGAGGACCCGAGGCCGGGGCTGGGCACCCCAGGACTGGGGTGCTGGGTGGGCACCAGCCCCTCTGTGTTGGCAGTGCACAGCTGGCCCTGTACAGCTGGCACGGGTGTTCTGCAGGGGTGCAGAGCCACAGGGAGCCGTCGGTGGGACAGGGTCAGATGCTGCTGCCCACAGGGTGGGAGCAGGGATGGCAGCTGGGAAGGGTTTGGAGAGGAGCGAGGGGCCAGGCCAGCCTGGCAGTGCTGCCTCGGTGGCACCAGCAGAGCTGCTCTGCCCCCATTGTTGCCTGAACGAGTTGGCTGGAAGCCCAGCTCTGCTGCTGACCTGGCAGGACAAGCCCCCATTGCCTCCCCTCTGAGCCGTGTGGGCCTATGGCAACAGCCCCCGTGGGCATGCTGGCCACAGGACACCACCTGTGTGCCCGCTGCCACCACAGCAAATGGCCAGCTCACCCTGCCTGGGGCCACCGTCCCCACCACTCCACATGCCCCATGAGGGCACCAGGAAGCTGTTTCCAGCCAGCCCAGCCTTGCTGGAGCCAGGAGTATCTCTGTGGAAACAGATGCTGCAGCAAACCCACGTCACTCCATCATGGGCACACATGATACTTTAGCCCTGTCAGCCACCCCTGCCTGGTGTGGAGGTGGCCCTCGTGTCCCTGTGAGTCCTCGTGTAAGTCTGTGTGTCACCATATGTCTCTGTGATGGAAGGACGTGAGCAGGATCTGCCATTGGCTTGTTCTGAGAATGAGGTTGGGATGGGAGAAAAGCCCCTCTGCCGGGGCAGCTGCTGCCCACACACCAGCCATGGGTGGGATGAGCTGCAGTGACAGGACCTGCTGCTGATGGAGTTGGACCCTGAGAGACCTCCTGTGGAGCCTGTGGCACGAGCAGCACCACCAGGATGGTGTGGAGAGCACGTTGGTGACAGTGGGCAGTGCAGTGGTGACAGCAGGGCCACGTGCTGGTGGCTGTGCTGCTGGTGGCACTGGCAGCAGTGCCCTGTACGGGAAACACACCAGTCCTGCTGTGTGCAGGAAGGAAAAGATGTGATGTGTGTCATTCCCAGGGAAGGACCCCAGCTCACCATTCCTTGCTCAGGACATTGAGCTTTTCATCATCACAGGACTTGCCAAGTGGTTAAAGCAGGCTGTTTAGGCCAAGTTGGTCCCTCCCACAGTTTTTTCCGCAGCAAGGGTGCTCTTCCAGGAGGCAACGTCCAGCTGGTCTCTGAGACTTTCTCATGCAGATGAACCATCTTTCTGGAGGTCCCTAAATAACACAAGTCATAGAGTTGAGCACTGGGTGAGGTTTATGCCCCCCCACAGCCATGGGAAGTCCACAGGGCAGGGCTGCATGAGCAGGGCTTGGGGGGCTCTGTGTGAGCAGGTGCTGGGAGCCGGTAGCTCCGGGGAAGGAGCGGGCATTGAGTGCCGGGAGGTTCGGGGCTGGCACTGCCCAGGTGCTGCTTTGCAAAGAGCTGCTCCCGAGCCTTGGCTGGTCCTTGTCCCTGCTGCACAGGCTGAAGCGCCGGGGGCTGAACTGCTACATGTACGCGCCCAAGGATGAGCTGAAGCACCGGCTGCTCTGGCGAGAGCCCTACACGGAACACGAGGCAGGTAGTGGCTCTGCTGGGCCCGGCACCAGGGGCTGCAGGCGTCCCAGCTCCTCAGGGGTGAAGCATGCTCTGCATATCAGCCAGGGCCTGGCTGGCTCTGACCACTCTTCCTGCCAGGAATGTGCCCACTGCAGGAAACCCCCAGGCCCTACCTAGTGCATGGAGACCCCCAGACCGTGCCCATCCCATGGAATTTGCCTAGGAGCCCACCCAGCCTGGAGAGCTCCGACACGGGCTTCTGGCAATGCGCTTGGATATGGCAGGGGCCACAGGCCCTTGCGGAGTCCTGTGTCCCAAGGGACTGGAAACTGTCTCCCCTGCGCCTCTCCCCCTCCAGATGCTCTCTCATGCCTCCCGATGCCCTCAGCTCCTCCCTTTCGGGCCACCGTGGTTCGCTTTCCCCCCATCCCCGCGTCCCTCCATCCCTCCTCCCGGCGCTCACAGCACCCTCTGCCGTGTCCCCAGCCCGCATGCAGTCTCTCATAGAAGCTGCCCAAGAGCAGGGTGTGGAGTTCGTTTTCGCCGTTTCTGCTGGCCAGGACATGGTGTTTTCAAGCGCTGGGGACCGGCTCCTGCTGCAGCAAAAACTCAGGCAGGTACCGTGGCCCATTCCTTCATCCCCCTGCTCCCAGGCCAGGGGCACGCGTGGCTGTGTGTGGGCTCCGTGCGCACCCAGCGGTTGGTGTGGGGCTACACACCCCTCCTGCTGCTGCACGGGCCCCCCGCGGAGGCCGGGCTGCCAGCGGACAGTGCTGGGGGCAGGAGGAGGACTGGCCGAGCCCCGCAGCTCGCTGGGCAGCGCGGGAGGCCAGTGCAGGCTGGTGCTGAAGCAGGTCCCCAGGGAGGGTGAGGAGCCACCGGCATGGTGGGTTAGCTCCGTGGGCTCCCAGCAGCACAGCCCAGGCCAGCAGCTGCCCTGGGCCGTGCCCGGCTGCCCCTCCAGCTGACCCTCCAGCTCCGGCACAGGGAGCCGTGTCCTGTCCCCGGGTGCAGCCAGACTGGTCCCGAGGCTCTGCCACCCTCTGCTCAGCCCCAGCGCTGCGGGGCGATGCAGGGTGCTCTGCCTGCTCCGTCCATGGGGTCTCCAGACCTCACAGGCCCCGGGGCCCGTGCGGCAGGGCCGGGGTGGGTGCCTCTTCCCCCAGCAGCCCGTGCCCGCAGGTGGCTGCCCTGGGGTGCTGCTCCTTCGCGCTGCTCTTCGACGACATCGACCCCTGCATGTGCCAAGCCGACAGAGACATCTTCCCCTCCCTGGCCAAGGCTCAGGCCTCTGTGGCCAACGAGGTGTACCGGGAGCTGGGCCAACCCTCCACCTTCCTCTTCTGCCCTACAGGTACCTCCTGCAGCATTCTGGCCCCAGCCACCCTCCCCCTGGCTTGGGTTCTTGTCCAGGGCCCTTCGGCTGCTGCACCCAGCCCGTGTCTGCTGAGAGCTGCCCCGACAGCCTCCAGGGCTCCCAGTGCCCTGTTCCCCTGGGAGCCTTGGGATTCTCAGGACAAGGACAGCACCAGGCTGCAGAGGGGCTGCTGCTGCAGAAGCCCTGCATGCTGTGCTCCCTGCCCAATCCCTGCCCCTCAAGGGATCCCTCTGCTCTCTCCCCAGAATACTGCAGCTCCCTCTGCTCCCCCAGTCCTGGCCAGTCCCAGTACCTGCTGACCCTGGGCCAGGAGCTGCTCCCTGGGATCGGTGTGGTTTGGACAGGTGAGGGCCTGGCCAGCTCGGTGGGTTGCACAGCCCTGGACAGGCAGGCAAGGCTGTGGGTCTGCTGCCCTGGCCAGGGAGGGTGGGCTGGGCTGACCAAGCCCTCATGTCCACACTGTGTGCCTGGGCTCTGTGTGTCCCTGTGCTGGACTGCCCTGCCTGCTGCTCCTCACACCTCCCTGCCGTGGTGCTCCAGGCCCAAAGGTGGTGTCCCAGGAGCTCTCAGCCACACTGCTGGAGGAGGTGGAGGGTGTCCTGCGGCGCCGCCCTGTCATCTGGGACAACCTCTATGCCAATGACTATGACTGCAGACGCGTCTTCCTGGGCCCCTACACGGGACGTGCCCCTGGCCTCATGGCCAGGCTGGGTGGACTGCTCCTCAACCCCAACTGCGAGCTCCAGGCCAACTTCATCCCCATACACACGCTGGGCAGCTGGTTTCAGAGTGAGCTGCAGATCTGTGCCCACCCTGAGCACACAGGTACCTGGCCCCAGCACCCCAGGCAGCTCTGGATGGTGTCTCCTTGGGGCAGGGGGCTTCCCACCCTCAGTGTGGCATGGGAGAGCTGCACCAAGCCCAGAGTGGGGCTGCCCAGGCTGATGAACTCTGGTTCCTCAGGGACAGAGACTGTGGCAGCCCTGGGGGATAGGCAAGGCCCACCGGAGGGGAGCTACAGCCCTCAGGAAGCCTTGGAGCTGGCGCTGCTTGATTGGGTGGTTGAGATAAACCAACAGGCCTTGGAGACAGGTAGGGGATGGACTCACACTGTGCAGCATCCCTCACCCCCCAGAGCACTGAACCCCTCACCCCAAAGAGCACTGGACCCCTCACCCTCCAGAGCACTGGATGGCTCTGCTGAGAGCTTGGCAGGATGAGGTAGCCCCATGATGCCCTTTAGGATGGGGTGCTGTGGGGTCTGTGTGTGTCCCGGGGGACCATTGTGGGTGTCCAGTGCACCATGCTGCCCCAGGGGTGCTCTTGCCCTGGCCACATCCTAGAGGGAATGTCCTTAGCTGGCAGCACAGGAGCCTGGGCCATGGTATGGCCCTGGGAAAGAGGGTTCAGGAAGGAGCAGGCTCAGGGTTTCACACTGCTTGCCTCTGCAAAGCCTGTGGCCTCACCAGGCACAGAGGCCCAAACAACTGAGCACAGAGTGATGTGCAGCCCATGGTCTCAGCAGCTCCCCAGTCCCTGCCGGCTTGGAGATGGAGCTTCCTGGCCAGTGCCAGAGTTGTCCTGCCCCATGGGCAACAGTTTCCATGCAGGTGCCAGAGGGGCTGCGCCCTTGCTCCTTTCTGCCAGGAGGAAGGACCCCGGGACACCCCAGCATCAGCTGCAAGGGAGGAAAGAGGCTGCAGCCTGGCACAGCGGAAGGACAGGAGGCCGTGCCTGCCCCCCAGCCCAGCTCTGTTCCCAGTGGGGCAGAGCAGCATGGCCCTGAGCCCTGCAGCGTGGCACCAGGGGATGGCAGGAGGAAGGTGACCTCGGAGGTGGAGAAGGGCAGTGGGAGCAAGACCTCTGCTGGCGGTCGGCAAAGCCCCAGAGGGGCTGGGGACCAGCTCCCCACACGGAGCAGGGGGAGCTGCGAGCCCTCTGCTCTGCCCAGGACGGCGGGCAGTGCCCAGACTGTGGGAGCCCCTGTGGTTACCAAGTCCTTCCACAGCCCAGCCCCCGTGATGTGCTGCAGCACTGGGGCCAGCACCAGCCAGAGCCCCCCCCAGCCCCCCAGCAGCACCCAGCTGGAGGCCAGCAAGGCTGACGTGCCCCAGACACCCCCAGGAGCTGAGGCTGGCACCAGCCCAGGCCTCCCAGCTCCACCAACCCCAGAGGAGGCTGGGTCCAGACCCATGGCCCTGCTGACCCTGGAGGAGGCTGGGTCTGGCCCCACGGAACCACTGACTTCCAAGGAGGCCAGGTCCAGCCCCACAGCACCCATGATCCCAGAAGAGGCCAGGTCCACCCCCATGACACCGGTGACCCTGGGGGAGGCCAAGTCCCCCCCTACAGCACCGGTGACCCTGGAGGAGGCCGGGTCCGCCCCTCCAGTGCTGCTGGCCCTGGCAGAGGACAGATCCAGCCTCACAGCCCCGCTGACTCTGGAGGAGGTGCGGATGCTGGTGGAGCTCTTCTACCTGCCCTACCACCACGGGCCGCAGGCGCAGCACCTCCTGGAGCAGTTCCGCTGGCTGTGGGCA